TCTCTCCCAGCCCACGCTCCCCTCCCCCCAGAACCGCTCTCGGGGCAGCCCCGAAGGGGAACAGGGTCCCGGGACCTGGGGCCACGTCTTTGGACTGACCTTTGTGGCCGAGGCAGGCAGGGCCGGTGGCGGCGGCGGCGGCGGCTGCCGAGGCGGGCGGCAGCGCGGTTTTCTTGGCCGCCTTCTTCTCCTTCATCCAGGGGTACTCGGGCGGCTGCAGGGCGCCGGCGGGCCCTGGGCTGCCGCGGCTGCCCGCGGGGCTCGGCTTGGGGCGGCCGCCAGCGCCGTGGCGAGGGTGACTGCCCGGGTTCAGGCTGGGAATGGTCTGCTCAAAAGGAGGAGGAATCAGTGTCGAGTGTGAAAGCGTCGAGGTCTTGATTGATGAACTTTGAAATGTATCAGCGACAGGGGGAAAAGATGTCAGGCACTCAGCGAGCGACGGCTGGCTATTGATAAAACCAATCTCTCGCTCAAATTCGTAATTCATGGCCTTCTCCTTGGAGCCCCCTCGGAGAAAAAGTTCCCTCTTCTGGAGGGGCTTTGGGGGGGCGAGGCCCAGGAAAAAGGCGAATGCGGAGGGAAAAAAAATCTATCATAGAAGATCGCTGCTGGGGTGTTTTTTTTCTAATTCACTGATTACAGCCGTATGGGGACCGCGCTACTATTAAACTATTGAATTCATGGAGACAAGGTTGAAATTGGACCGAATTGGCTGTCACATGATTGCTTCTGCCCAATGACAATTTGGGCTTTAATCAAAAGAAGCCACTGTCTGTTTGATTGATCCAAAAAAGTCGGGAAGGAACGCCTCATTGGGGGCCAGCGAGGCTTTATTTACACTTTTTTCTGGGCAAAAATACATATATGTGGGTGTGGGTGGGGATGCCCGGGAGTGCGTGGGGGCGAGGGTGCCTGGCTGCCTTCCGATCCACAACGACCTGGTATGTGCGCCTGTAGTGCGTGTGAGTGTGCGAGTGAGCCCTGCTGCTGGTCCCGCGGGCGGCTGCCCTCTGCCTCCCCGCACTCTGCGCATTGTTTGGGACTGTCGGGAAGACGCCTCGCACCTCACAAATCATTTAAGCACCTCAGTCTGACGCCTGCAGTCATTAACAAAGTAATCCATTAATCTTCAAAGTTTTGACACCCGAGGGCCCCCCATCCCAGCCACATAAGTTCTGCTAAGGCAGGAGGAAGGAGCAGAGGGAAAGGAGAGATGAGACTGGGGGAGAGAGAGAGAGAGAGAGAGAGAGAGAGAGAGAGAGAGAGAGAGAGAGAGAGATTCATTTTTGGGTCCCCTTCTTTTATTTCCCTTGTTCTCCTCCGCTTTTTCCAAAACCATTTTCTGGATCTCAGAACTGATGTCCTCTCTATCCTAGTCTTGCTTCCTCTGTCTTTCCTTCTTTTCCTCTTTTTCCCCTCTTCTCTCCTCTCCCCCTCCTTGTCTCTCCTCTGTCCACTTCTCCTCCCCCACCCCCGCAGGCTCTCGCCCCCCTCCCAAAGCCCAGCTCCGAGTCCCGCGGCCCCGGACCCGGACCCCGGCCCATTGTTAGCCGGCTTTTCCACGGCAGCTTTGCGTCTGGCTCCAGAGGGAAGCGGCAAACGCGAGGCTGCTCTCGAAGCTTCCCGATCTTCCTGCGCCATCAACTTTTCAGGAGATAGATGCATGTGCCAAGCAAGACAACAACCCCAGGTCCATGTGTTCAAATCCCTGTAGCCAGGGCGGCGGCCAGCCAAAGAAATGCTGCCCCAAGCAGGCGTGTGCGGCTCCTGGCATTCTGGGTTTCATACCCGTAGGGCTCGGGTTTGGTGAGTATTTCCGATTTCCAGGAAGTCTGTTGGAAGTTAGCAGCAGGAAGGGAGAAGGAGCTTGTTTTATTCTCTTTTTTCTTTTTCTTTTCCACCCCTTCTTCTCCTTGTCGCTCTGATTGGGGGCTTGTTGGTTCAGATGTAGTGAGTGCTCCCTGGCAGCCTCAATTGTCTCCTGAAACTTCACCTTCCTTAGCCACCAGGGATGTTTGCACTCGGGTTCTGTTGTGGGAAACAGCACCGCAGGTGAGACAGGGCGACCCAAGGAGGGATTATAAAGGTTCTCTTTCTCTGTTCACTGTCTTTTTTTTCCAATTCGGAGACTTCAGACTGAGTGCATCTTGGACTGTGCTGGAGGGTTCAAAAGACAACACCTTTAGGTACCAAACAATAAATTTTTAAAAATCCACCAAGCCAGAAAGAAGGGAGGAGGCTGAGAGAGAAAGCTGAAGGTATCTTTTCCCCCAAACCCTGAGGATGATGATTCTCCTTTGCTTCCTTTGAAATGGACCAAGTGATCAGACTCCCCCAGGCCAGCAGGCATCGGTGGCAGGAAAATAAATCATTCTGATGGCTAGGGAGAGAGAGGTCGGTGGGAGAGAAAACCCTATGTAGAAAACAAGCAAGGCCGAACAAGGCGCAAGGATAGGACTCCATCTCTGAAGTCGGCATCAAAGGGGTTTGGGTTGGAAATTGATATAAAGTGCCCTCCGTCCTGACTAGCTGAGAGCATTGCCTTACAGATAGAGATGCTATTTTGGAAAATGTGAGGTTTTTCAGTTTTCTTGCTTTTATTCCAAACAAAGCTCTGAAGGAAGTCTGGGCGCGATCAATCTTGCTCACCAAAAGCCTTGACAGCTTCTGGCCCTTAAGAACACATTTCAGCTTCGAGCTCTTTCCAAGATCAAATGTGGCCCAGCAAAGAGGAGAGCAGAAAACGCAAGTAAACAAGGAAAACTGGTCTTTTTAAAGATATTTTTTTGGCAGCGGAAAGTTATAAAGCTGCTTTTAGGAAAGGTGCTTTGCGGACTCTGGCATGGCAGCTTTTGGTATTTGCTTTTACCATAAAATATTGAAGAGTTAAGGGGAGGAGGACAACAGAGAGGGAGTAGCGCTGCCCCCATATCACTGAGGCTTTGTCAGGGGCTGCGTGGGTGAGAGCTTTCTGCTGCCTCAGCGACCTTAATTCAAATACCATCTGGAAGAAAACCCTTTTCTTTGACCATTCAACACTGAAATCTTCTCCAAATCTATTACTTTAACTCAGGAGATATTTTAATAAGGATTTCTTTTTAATATCTAGGAAGCTAGGGGTGAGATCGATATTTTTTTTCTTTGAAAGCCAAAATGAATGTCTTGACTGGCAAGATGTGGAAAATCATATTGGAATCTCATTTAAAAATCTCTGCCCTGGAGGAAGGAGGAAGCCTCCAAACCTCCTCCCTCAGCTAAAGAGTAGATTTTAGAAATGAGTTCCAATGACGGTATCTCTGAAAGATTTCTCTCTCTCTCTTTCTCTCTCTCTCTCTCCAAATGTTCCTTATAGTCCCAGGTAATTTTAATTTAATGCACTTCTCTAAAATTATTTCTTAAAAGAGGACTCTTGCGTCTGTTCATCCTGCTTAGTTTAGATGTGCACAACCAGAAGGTGGAAGCTCCAGTCCTCACAAAGACTGGTTTTCCAGCCTCTGTATTTCTAAAACGCGCCATATTTCATGGGATGGGGAGCAAATCCATTTCTTCCATAGCCCAAACTCTCTCTCTCTCTCTCTCTCTCTCTCTCTCTCTCTCTCTCTCTCTATATATATATATATATATATATATATATATATATCAGGAGCTCCAGGACAGATGTGAGGGAAGCACCTCTGGTTGTGAGAGGAACACCCAGATCTTTACAGCTGCCTAGGTTTGCATATTCTTTTCATTTTCTTAAAATACGAGGAGGTTTCCTAAAAGCAGCTCCTCCAGACCTGCAGGTACCCAAAAATTGTTCCAGTGCCTGTTTCTACAGATCATCTGAGGGAGTTTCTCAGGGGGGAGATAGAGGCCATGAAGATGAATATTTTGGATTGCAAACAAAATGGCGACATTTTCCACCTCTGCCTCAGAAACATAGAATCCAAGGAGAAGGGGGATTTATTTCTCACATCAGATGCTCCTAATCCCCAGACGCAGGTGGTTCCTCACTTCCAGCTTTGAGGTGGGATGCTGATGGGGATGCAGTTCTGAGGTTTGCACTTTCTGAATTTGGTTCCTTCTCGGAGCAATTCTTTAATCTGAAGATGAAAATATTTCCCTTTCCTGTGCCTGTCTTTGCCTTTGCCAGTCAGCCAGTAGGCAGCCCAGGAATAGAAATGCAATGTTTAGCTCCTATAGCATCAAATGAAAAAAGTACTTATAAAATTGCATTTTTATTAGAAAGATATTAATCTCCTTTCTCTCTCCCCCTCCCCCTGGGGCCATAAAAAAAAAAAAAAAAAAAAAGGCGAGGAGGGAAGAAGGAGAGGAAATAAATCCAGAGAATGCCAAGTCCTGAATTCCGAAAGGAAGCCCATGCTGGGGCTCCAGCAGTCCAGGGAGGGGCTCAGCCCTTCTTGTGCTGGAGACTCCGGTGGGCCTCTCAGTCTCTTTCGAGCCGCCTCGCTCCCAACGGCAGTTTTAGAAGTGATTCTTTCCTCCTGGCTGGATAAACGACCTCGAAGCATCCGCAGAGAGTCCGATTGCTCCTAGAAAGTGCTCGGCATACTCCGCGCGGCTGGCGATTTCCCAGCTTAAGGCGTTGGCTGGTCAGCTTTGACCTGAGGAAGGTCGTGGACTGGAAGGCAGCCCGCTTCGTCCCCCGCGGGGCCGCCCGGGCACCTGCGCTCCCCCCGCCGCGCCTGGGCCGGCTGCCTTTGTTTCTCCCGCACTCCGCTCTCCGCAGCCCCAGCGCCCGCCGCCGGCCTCCGTGGCAGCTGGGAACCAGGCAGCCCGGCGGGCTGGCCGCTCAGACGTCTCCACAGCTGCAGCCACCAGGAACCCGGCCGCCTTCCCGAGAACTCGCAGTGCTCCCCGGCGAGGCGCCCGGCCAGGCCCCAGCCGGAGCTGCAGGGAGACCCCGGCCTGCCTCGGCCTACTCAGCCAGTTCGCCTCCACTTCGATTCCACGCAGACCCCCATCTTCGGCCAAAGAACCCCTTCCGAACGCGGATATTATTCAGAATAAAAACTTTATTATCTTTTTTGTTTTGTTTTGTTTCTCAGAGTGTGAGCAGCAAGGAATGTAGAACTCTTAAAACAAATCTAGCATTTTTCCCGTTTACAGATTGTTTTCTTCAGTTTCGCCGGATGTTACAAACTTAAAATCACTGTTTTTGAAAGCTGGATCCTCTCTGGTATTATTGCATCGTTACCTTTTTTTTTTTTTTTTTAATAAAGGAATTACATTTCCCTTTGAAATAAAAAAATTTCCTATGTACGCCAATACACTATTGAACAAAAGGCTCAAGAAACCTTCTGAACAATCAGGGTACAGAATTTCTTTAATATAAATACGAACGGATGGGGATAAATAATATTTAAAACTTAGATTATTCAATGCTTGCAAAAAAAATATAAATAAATCTGACTGTTCACCAGCATACACACACGGAAAGACGTACACTTAGTCATCCTTGCACAGGGAGCCCCTGTTTCAAAGCGCCTTTGATTTTTTTCTCGCTCTTTACAAGAAGTGCAATAAAAAAAACTAAAATTAAAAAAGTAATCGCTTCCCCTCGGGAGCCATAATGTACGAACAAATTCACATTGAAGAACTCGGCTAGAAAATTTGTTCATATACCCTGTTTCTGATCAAAGAGTAGAGAAGGTAAAGGGTGCAGGGCCAGCGGCCGGCCGAGCGGGGGTGGGAGGAGATAAATATCGCTATTGATACTGACAGCCATTCCAGCAACCAAGATTGCTACGTCACATAAACTATAAAAACGCGTTACCAAAGAAAACAAACGGGGGGGGGGTGAAAGGGGGCGGAGGAGAGAGAAAGGGGAGGTGCAGGAAGAACCTTAAAACAAAACAAAAAAAAAAGCAAAGAAGAAAGGTGGTAGTTGGGGGGGGGGGCGTGGACTCTCCTGGCGCTCAGCCCCAGCCCACCATCACAGGTGGGTGAGCTTGGGGGCTTCCTGAATTCTTCCCTGAGAAGGATGGTGGGCGGTAAGGTCCGTGTAGGTGGGGTGCGGCTCCCCTGGCCCGGGGCCGTGATGGTGGCCACTGCCCAGCGGCCCAGCACCCCCATAGTCCATGGCAGCCGAGGCAGCGTGGGGGAGGTGAGTTAGGCCAAAGAGGGCCGGCCCAGAGTTGCTCATGGGCTCCACATAGCTGCCCCCCACAAAGACGGGGCTTCCCTGTAAGTGTGGTGTCCCATAGCTGCCGTTGCCCTGCAGGCCATGCGCGTGCGGGTCATAGTCGGGTGTGCCTCCTGCGCCTGCCCCCGCAGCTGTGTAGCGCTTCTGTGGGGGCGGCGGGGGCGCGCAACTGGGCAAGGGTGCGGGGTAAGAAGCAGGGGGCAGCCCGTAGGCGCCCTGTTGGGGCTTGGAGAAAGGTGGGGGCGACTGGGGCTCGTAGGGAACACTGTTGACCAGTGAATGCATAGAGTTCAGATAGCCGCCAGCGCCCGGGGGCACCGGGCTGCGACTTGGGGACTGGCCCCCTGATGACGTCAGCATGCCCTTGCCCTTCTGATCCTTCTTGTACTTCATGCGGCGATTCTGGAACCAGATCTTGATCTGGCGCTCGGTGAGATTCAGCAGGTTGGCCATCTCCACGCGACGTGGCCGGCACAGGTAGCGGTTGAAGTGGAATTCCTTCTCCAGCTCCACCAGCTGTGCGCTCGTGTAGGCTGTGCGTGCCCGTTTGGAGGACGCCTGCCCAGGCGGACTCTTGTCGCCTGCGCAACTCTCCCCTGCCAGGACAGAAGAGAGAGGAAGAGTAGTATCAGGGGCTGCTCTGCAACCCCGCCCAGTCTGTGACCCAACCAGGCCCCTCCCTGCTGCAAACCCCAAAGTGGCCTCTATTTGTTAGGGCCCAGAAAGGGGGAGGAGGAGCAAAGTACTGTCCTCCGTCCTTGTGGGAAAACAGTGCTGGTAGCTGGGTAGCTAGCCCTTCATTCAGTCAAATTGCAAATCATAGGGTTCTCCAAGGGAGTAAAAGACAGAAAAGTAGAACCCCCAGTTTGTCTTCCTGGTCTGCATTTCCTTCCTGGAGCTATTCACTTTCTGACTCCTTTAATGATCCTGCAGGCCTATCAGACTACAGGCTCCCTGTGGGGGAGGTCTCACCATCTTCATTCCTTTCACACTAACTAGAATGGGGGCCACCTAATATATGCTCAATAAACCTTTCCTTCAATCACTGTCTGTCTGAAAGATTGGACAGTTGCTTCAACTGACCACTTATTTAATTTCCCCAGTGGAGATAGGTGGAATAGAAGCTCCAATCTGGAAGCCTTCTCTGCCCAAAGGAAGAGATCTCATCAACAGTATGCATTTCTGGTGGGGAGGCCCAGGTCCCTGATGCTAGATCTTATTAGTTAGGGTTCTCTATGTCAACAAACAGTCTGCCTCAGCTTTGCCCACTAATCTTGTGGTCTCCTGTCATCCCTGGCCTCCCCAAATCCTGACTTAGGAAGGTTCCAGATTCTCAGAACAGAGCATTGGCAACTGGAGAAGGCAGGGGCAAAGGTAACCAAGATACTGGGAAGCCCCAAGACCCAGGGCCTATCATCCACTGGGTTCCAAGAAGCCCATGTGGTTCCTATTAAGATGACAAGCCTGAATCCCCTCCCCCAGGAGATCCCTGGCTGCCTTCATTGTGTTAAGTCTGAGTAGGGCCTTCCCAGAGGTAAGGCAGTCACTCCATCTGCTGGAGCAAAAATTAAAAATAGGCTCTGATTATAAGTGAAGCAGTGATTCTAAACTGGAGGATGATTAGGCCTGCTTTTATTAGGCACATTTCAGTGTGGGGTGGTGTCACTATTTCACTAAAAATGAAGAGTTGTGCTAAAAAGAGAGTGGAGCTCAGGTTTGTTCTCCACAAAGGTCCTAACTCCAAGAGTGGAACAAGAAGTGATTCTAAACTCACTAGGCCCCACTTGCTCTTGGAGAAGTCCAGAGAGACTTCCATTAGGCCTCTCTCTGGAGTTTCCTGTGTACATAGTCCTGTCACCTCCCTAGCTGCAAAGGCGCCTGAAACCTGTATAGGGTGGAAAGAGGAACAGCAGTGACTCCTTGGAAATGTTCCAGTGCTCCAGGCCATGCTGGCTGTGCCTGGTGCTGGCTTGGGCAACTGGGAGCCAGGCCAGAGGACCCTCCTCCAGAAGGCACCCCTTTACCTGAGCTGGAGCCGCTGGTTTTCTGCTTTGTGTTCTGCCGAGACTCCTTCATCCAGGGGAAGATCTGTTTGGCCACGGTGGGCGAGTTGAGTAGGGGGCTCTTGGCCGCACTGGCAGGAGTGGGGTTGCTGCTGGCATTCTGAGGTGGGGAGACGGAAGAGGGGGGTGGGGGCGCAGCAGGAGCTGGCGCAGGGGGCTGCGGAGGTGGTTGAGGTTGCTGAGGGGCCGGGGGCGCAGCCTGGGGCGGTGGTGGGGCCAGGGGCGGCTCTCCCAGGCCTGGGGGTTGGCTGGGAGGGCCGCTCAGGGTGTGCAGACATGCCTCACTCAGCTCGTGCGCCTTGGGGTGGCCCCCAGCGCTGGCGGGTGATTGGAGTGAACAAGCGGGTCGGTGGTACTCGCCCTCCGTGCCCAGGGCTGCGGACGCTGGGTACGGCTGTTGGCTGGCATTATAAGCGAACCCGTTGGCTGCCTGGTAGGGGTAGCCACCGTAGATCGCGGAGCTGTCGTAGTAGGTCGCTTTTTGCATCGCGTTGTTTCACGATCTTGATCACACACTCTGACAGGGGCTTGACACCCGTGAGGGCGCACATTGGCACGCCCCCGCGGTCACGTGACGCTCCGCCGCCAATGGCCGCCCTGCGCAGACCTGGGGGGTGAGAATCGCCGCGCGGTGAGGGTTCCGCGCAAATCCATCTTACTCTCAATAGCTAAGTGACATGAAAGCCATAAAAGAAAAAGTGGTCAGCAATATTTAGCAGCACGACTTGGCCCCGGGCGCAGAGAGCTGCGCTATAAAAAGCCGCTGGAATTTACTGGCGGCTACAAATATTTGCTTAACTTGCGTCTGGAGTTGGGGGTTTTCCGGGGAGAGAGGAGGGGAGTGAGTGAGGACTGGAAGCTGGGTCTCTGGCGCTGGAGTCCAAAAGTAGAAAGGCCTGATAGGTTAGAAAGGAACAGGGATGGGATACTTCTTTTCCAGGGAAGAAGAAACTCTGGTGTCCCATCCTCTCTGCTCCTTGGCCTCGTCCAGCAAGCCCCCAGACTCCTTCTCTCTGGGAATTTTGGAGAAGGAGGCAAAGGGGAGCTTGAGTTGCCAAGTTTTTTCTCCAATCTTTGCTTTAGGACTTATATTTTCCAAAACAGCCTTGACAGGGGGTGATCCCATCCAGCCCCTTCTTGGATGTTCCAGAGCCAAAGAGAGGTTTGCACACAAATATTACAGGTAATCGCCCTACTTGACCCTACTGGATTTCATAAGCTGATATTGTTAGTCAGTTGTCTAACCTTGTGCAGGGGTATGACCCACCTCCAGATGAGCCCCTTGTGGCTAAGAAGGGGAGAGAGAAAACTTTTGATGGAACATCCTGTGTGAGAAGGACGACTAACAACACCCACTCCAGCAAGTCAAACTCAAATCCTGGACAGCTTTTTACTTTTCTCCTTTTCCCATTTCTCAGGCATGTCCCAGCAAGCCACTCCCACCTCTTCTCCTCTGCTACAAAAGGTCCCCAGACCCTCCTGCCTTGGACTTTCTGAGGTGCTGTTATTCAGGGCAACTATCAAATTCTACCTGTTAAAACATGATGGATTAGAGAAAAAAAACAACCCACCAGGAACCTGAAAAACCAGCGTTCATCTCCATGACCACGGCTTGAACTCTCCTTCCAACTTAACGATAATAGGTTCTGTCTTGGAAACTGCTATGTAATTTGATGTATGGGGGTCATTTGGCTCCGGACGAGGGATGGAAGCACAAGCCATAAAATCCTGCCAGAGTTCCCTGATCTTTGTGTGCTGTTATTGTTGATATTTGTTACTTGGCCTATTTACCTGCTTCAGAAACACCAGTAAAGGGCAACCCTGGAAATCTAAAAACCAATGAAAAACCTTCCCAATTCTTTTTTTTTTTTTTTTTTTTTTAATTCTAAAACAGTTTGCATAAGTGAAATCTGTTTCTTTCTTTCTTTTTTCAACCTTTGCATGGTCAACCTCTGGTTCTTCTTAGAAAAGTTCCATGTGAGTTCACATATTGACACTTACACTCTGACACACTCAGAATGTTAGTCCCTGACCATTTATGAACACTACAATGACAAATTCATGAAGAAAATGGTTTTCATTTTACACCCCAACTCTGTGAATTTGAGTCCTGGAGTTATTCAAGTTTTCCAGGAATAGAAAACACTTTGTTAACTAGAAAAAATTAATGTAATAAGCATCTACCAGTGGATGATTATACTGTAATTTTGTCTTTAACAATGGACTCCTTTGGATTTCATTATTAAACAAACAATCTGACCAACATCTGGAAAACATGCACAATTAATTTTCCAGAACCTCAATTAAAAATTACAGCATCCCAATCCAGAATTATTGTGCATGATCTTGAGCCCTGGAGTATTATTTCTCTTTTAGAAATAGATAGAATGCCACATTAACCATAATCAAAAGGAAATAAATGATAAAATAAAATTTAAAACTCAATAGCATTTTAATATGTTTCCTGTTCTTTTACTAAAAACAGTTCCTATTACATTTGGTAGTGTTAATGTCTGCCATTATAAATTTTTAAGATACTAGGCTTGTGTAAAATAAAACATCAGGTTAAGAAAATTACTCCAGACACTCGAACAGCAAGATATTAGATAAAACAAAATTAAGTTGATTTTGAATGTGCATTATTTCAAGTGAATTGCTAATCAATTATCATAAGCTACATCGGCCTGCTGTTTACCTAAGTCCTTTCATCAAGTTGTACATAGTCTTGTAAAATAACAAAATATCTTTAAAAATCAAAGAGCAAACAACAACCCCATAAACTTAAAATATGAATTCACCTCTGGGATCCTACTAAAGTGCTTCCTATTGTTTGAGGTCAGCAGATAACCAGCTTGGGGCCCACACAGTCCACCACCCCACAACCAGCTCCCAAAGTTTGCAACCTAGAAAAGAAGTTGGAGATTTGCCAGCCAGGAAACTTTGCTTTGCACCCCCAAACAAGGGCTGGGGATGGGAGGAGATTCCTCCGAAAAGGTCCGTTTCTGGACAATAACCCTCAGGTGCAAGAGCTGAAAGAGAGTTGAGGAGGCTAAGTTGAGGACAGGAAGCAAACCCTATTGTCTCTCTAGAAGATCTGCCCAAATTTCAACCTCCTTCCTTCAGACACCGCTCCTTTTTTCCACTCCCGCCCCTTCCTCAGCCTGCCCTCACCCCGAGTTTAAAGTGGGAACTCAGGCTAAAGCCCCTACGTCCCCTTGCCCATCCCTCCCTCCCTTCCCAACCTGGAAAAGTTGCGGCTGGGCTAGGGGAGAGGGAAGAGGTGGGGGCGGGGATGGGAAAGCGGCCTGAACTCGAAGTGTAAGGGTATCAGTCACTGCCGGGAAGGAAGCTCCGGCTTGTGAACTCTTCTTGAACCGAGATTTAAGTCTGCGGCCATAAATCACCGAGACGTAAACTCCGCCATTCAGCGCTGAGAGCGGCCGGTTGTGGCCCTGCTTACCTTAACTTCTGACGAGCGCTGCGAGCGCAGGCTTGGTCTCGGGCTCGGGCTCCGGCCCCGGCCCGGCTTGGCAGCCCGGCCGGGTCCCCTCAGCTCGGGATGGGCAGCGACCCTCAGCATCAGCCGAGACCACGGGCGGGAGGGAGACCCCGAGGCCCAGACGCCGCGGCTCAGAGCGTGGCCGCCTCGCTGCTCCGGCACGGCTCGCCCAGGGCGGACTGGGGCGGCTTGGACCCCCCCTCCCACCCACCCCACCCACCCACCCCTCCCCCACACCCCCGCCCCCTGCCCTTCCCGAGGGCAGCAGCCGTGGCCCGGAGATAAGCGCTAGCGCTGCGCAGGCTCTGCCTGGGCTAGTGGCACCGACTTGGGTATGTTTCTTATGAATATTACGCGCGGAGCAGAGGCTGGTAGGGGGTGCGGTGGGGGGTGCTGGGGGCGGGCAGGAGGGGAGGCCGAGGCGACTGGGGCTGCGGGGCCCAGCGTGGGGGATGGGGCTGAGGCGAGGGGAGGGCCAGGAGCTAGAGGGGGAGCTCAGCAACAGCGGAGGGAGGAGGGCAACCTCCCCCTAAACCCCACGCCCTCCCTCTCCTTGCTCCTGGGCGTCACTAAAGTCCAGGAAAATTATGCTAATGAGGACAAACGGCTCTCACAAAGGGGATCTCTTGCCGGGCTCTATTTCTTAGGAATCCGTTTGAGAAACCATGTAATCCTCTGCCCTGGACATTTCCAGTTGAGGGGCTAGGAGAAGAACCAGAAGAGTTCCCCAGACTTTGGGCAGTTGACCTCACCTGCCATCCCTAATCCAAGAACCTCAAAGCCAATCTTTGGGGGACTCGGATAGGGCCTCCTTTCTTGAGAGACCTCCCCAAGAGCCAACAGGGCTGCCTGTGGTTATGTTTCTAGGCAGAAACACTGAATTCTTGGCAGCCTGGAGCGAAGGAACCTGGGGGAGATGCATGGTGGTCGGGCAGTGGGGAAGCTCTGGGCTCAGGTACACACAAGAGTCTAGAAACCCGGGTCTTCAACTCTTGTGTGAGGGGGGCAGAGTACAGACATGCAGGTCACTCACAGGGAAAGCCTGATGAAGCTTCCAACAGCAACGAATATCTGTGGTCACCCCCACCCCCCATTAGTAGTATACAGGGAAGCAGAGGAAAGGCCTGCATATGCCCGGTAATATTTCCACAACTTTAAGGAGGATAGTCTTCCTTCTCCAATGGCCTCCCTCAACTCCCCAGATTCAGAAGCGAACTCTGCAAGGGTATGTGTGTGGCAAAAAGAGAGAAATGGAGTTTTTGTGCAATTCCAAGGTGTCAACGGCCAGGCCTTCTCAAAGGAAGGTGTTAAAAATATAAGTAGTATGTTTAAACTGTCAGGGAGCCAAAGTGTCACCTTAGAGCAAAAACAAAGCCAAGGAAAAGGGAGAAATCAAAAAGCACTCCCGGCCAGGGTGGCCTCATGCATACCAATGGTTTTTGTCATTTATGGCTGGGCAAGATTTATGACTCGGCGCCCCAAAGCTGTAAACAGAGCACAAAACAGCAAACACTTGCTCCTTATGGCATATTGCGGCAGCGCAACTTGAAAGGGGGAGCCGGGCGGCGTAGGAGGCGAGAGCCAGCCGCAAAAATCCGCTCGGTGGCATTTTCTCTTCAAACTGTCCGGGTCCGATGTGGCATTTGAAGAAAGAAGGCGTGGGTCAATAATCAACCCGCACTTTCTCCTCCAAACTGCTGACGGGACTCTCACGCCTTCTCAACTAAGCCAACTGGAGGCAGGGCCGGCCAGCTCTCTGTGAGGACCTGCCAGGGAAGGGGACGGCCAGCCGGGCCACGGAAGCCGAGGGTGCCGAGGTGAGGGCGGGAGCTCCGGGGCGCATACCTTTCCACCAGCGCCAAAACACGGGAGCTGGACCCGCCGAGCTGGAGAGCCCGGCGAAAGCCGGGGCCGGAGCTCTGGCAGGGGCCTCCGCCAGCCCCAAATAGGTAGCTTCTGGGCTCGAGCTGCCGCGGGCAGAAGCGGGGTTCCCACCTGGAGTCTGGCGCCTCGACATTCAGACTGCCTGGATTCAGGCCTCTCTGCGGAAATCCAAAGTGCTGGCTTTTCGAACAAGGCAGGCGAGGTGCTTTTAAAAATGATAATTT